AAATGAATAGTTTCGGCGTACGAGCGCCGCAAAGTCTATTCCAACAGGCGTATTGGCCAACAAATTTATTTCCACATCACCATGAGGTAGAGTTCCTGACGCGTTTTTTTAGTGGTATCCCCAGTAGGCCTAATCCACATGTGATGTACTGTTGACTAAATTTAGTGAATTCTCCTTCGCTTTGCTATCCTTGATGGACCAGGTTTTGCGAATTCTTCGTCTTCAGAACTGAGCAAAACCTCATGGATAGAAATTTTTTCCAAGTTATCCGCGATAGGGTTCTCTTCTTCGACTTCACCACCTTCTTCCTCGACTTTGTCGAAGGTTTGCTGAAGAACTGTCTCCGTATCTTCCTCTTCATCACTATTTTGCAGATCAACTTCCTATCCGTGAGGTTTTGCTCAGTTCTGAAGACGAAGAACTCGCAAAACCTGGTCCATCAAGGATAGCGAAGCGAAGGAGAATGCACTAAATTTAGTCAACAGTGCATCACATGTGGATTAGGCCTACTGAGGATACCACTAAAAAAAAAACGCGCCAGGAACTCTACCTCATGGTGATGTGGAAATAAATTTGTTGGCCAATACGCCTGTTGGAATAGACTTTGCGGCGCTCGTACGCCGAAACTATTCATTTCAAAGAAAAAAGGTTAATACATAAATTATAGGAAATATTCTCTAGTTTAATTTATTACATAACTATTTTCACCGTAAAGTGAGTCGGAAAGGAAATATCGTCGAAAAATTGTTTTGAAGCGCCATTTTTCCAATATGGCGCCTACTTCCGGAAAAAAAAGAGGTGGCATAGTAAAAATTCAGAAAGAGCACGTCAAAATTTATAAATATACCAATTTTCAAAACTCCCCTAAAACTGCACAGGCAAAACTTCCAACTGATTGTAAAATTGGTATATAGGTACATATAATTAGCACTACGATATACCTACATACGAAAAACTCGCTACTACTAAAACTAACAAATGAAAAGCAATCTACATTATGAATACGTATTTCTGCCAATGACAAAATAGGAATTTTGATCCGCTCGGTTGAAAACTAACTTTGCACAACGAAATCCTTATTTAATAGCATTGCTCTGTCATTGTGAAAATAGTCGGTAAAACTCCGGACATTCATTCCGCTGATGAGAGGGAAATGAAAGCGAACGAATTGTTGTTGTTAAAGCCTGTCGGGTTCGAATTGGACTTTATTTTGATTTTTATAGCGTTTCGCATCGCGCGGTCTGCGGTCGGATTAACGCTGACTACCATAATAAAACGAATATTCACTACTTTTAGTTTTACTCCGCTGCGGGAACAAATTAATCAACACATGTTAGGCTGCAAAGTTCTTCAAATCTCGTAATCGCAAATAACATAATAAATGATTTAAATTAATTATTAAGTTTTCCAAGGTGTAGGTTGTGCTTTCGGTCGCACTAAATGGCGTCTCAATACGTTCCTGATCACGATCACGACAAAATTTAAATCTGTACCGAATTTGAAATATCCATAATTTTGCAGCATTAAAAAAATTATTTTTATCGGTTGTAAATTACAAATTTATGCAGTTCTTAATGAAATTAAATTTACATGCGTTACCAATTGAGTACATATACTGTCGTACTCCAAGCTCAGAGCGTATTTAAAATTTTCTTTCAAATTTCCAATTGGAATTACGAAGTCGTCTCCAATCAGTCGATCTCGGCCAAAGCATAAACTCCTCTCTGAGGGGATTCAAACAGCCCTCTACAAGAAACAGAAGGCGCGATGTAGAAAATAACAACTGGCCAATTGTCTAAATCCAAGGCGGACCCATCACGATGGGGATCGAACGTCGACCCTGGTGCTTTGCAGTTTAGTAGCCGGGCTTTCAGCGCACCCAGATTGTAGCAGTATTCTCAGGAGACCTCGAAACCAGTGATAGGCAACGCAAAACCAAAAAGACATTGATAATAGACATAAGAGTATTTGTACTCGAAATGCATACAAAACATAATTATTAGTGCAACTTGGCTCCTGTTTTTTTAATAATATAGATCCTATTTTTAATTTCACATACCTACTCGTATCTTTACCCAAACCTTTTCGGATAAGTTGTAAATCACCCAGTATAGATATGTGTATGTGTATGAATATTCATGAGAGTTGAGAATGTTGCTTGTCAATAAAATGCGTGATTCCAGAGATAAATGGGTTGCAATTTTTTACTACTGAGAAACTAACTATTTCTTACAAGACTTTAACGATCGAAGATAAAATACCTTCTTGCACTTAAATGATCAATGAAAAGAATTCTAAAAACTATACCTATTGGAATGTTGTCTAATTTTTGACGAATTAAAAGTTGAAATAAATTACCAATTCTGCATAACTATGTGTATGCAACAAGTAGGTATAATCAGATAATACTTTTTAGATTTTTAATTAAATATATGAATAACCTATAAAACTGTGTTTTCGTGCTAGTGAATTACTGTATTCGACTTAACGGAAAAAAACACATAATGCGCCAATATTGGCCCATTCTGAAACTTCATATATATCGATCCCCAATAAAGCGCTTTATTAGAATTCAGGGGTGTGTTACGTTGATAGCAGATTATATTGCTCGTGACAGACCCGACTCCGTTTTCTCTCCCCTTGCGTAACGCTGGGCGCGAACCCCTTCTAATCGCGCCCCCGGGCCGGTCGAGAACAAAGAAAAAGCGGATACTTGGTAGGCACGGCCATCTTGTTGACTGACACATGTTATATTAGACCGAAATGAAACGTTATTCATACAGGCGGTTTTCTAATTCACCCGCCGCCCCGTGAATAATAGAGGACTTCTTTACCATTTTAATTATCGGAAGGGGGGAGAGTTCTCTTTTCTTACGAATCTCGTTATTATTTTAATAACCATTGGTGGTGTGTTTGCCTAACGTTAATATTTAATGGAACCTGTAAATGTGTTTGTTTAAGGACTTAAAACAATTCCTACGCTTTTGACTGTTTCAAAATGTGTAGGGTGTAATGGAAATCTTAGAATAGAACTTTCCAAATTTGGCAATGAGCGCCGAATTTACACTTGTGAGGCCTATAGACAGAAATTTGTTGAGGGCTAGTTAAGGGATGGAAAAAAACATTATTTTTTATGCGTCTCTTTCAAGATTTTCTCCCGAATTTATTAAATAAATAATCTGTCTTGTTTTCAAAGGAATAATTTAAACATTGCAAGAAAAATTAAATTTTATTTTCTCTAGGAACAAAAATTTACAAATTAATAAAAATTAGTGAATATTTTTCCCACTAATTTAATTATAAAGTGTAGTGCATAATTGGTTACTTATTGATTAATTAATTGATACTTAAAAAAAGTTTGATCTATGTAATTTGGTAAAATTTTGATTACAAATTATTTAACACTTATTATTACATAATTTACAATAATGCTTTTCGAGCTTTCTTGTCAGCACAAAATTTTTTTCAAATTGGCGGGGGCCTAAAATTGGTGGGGGCCTATAGTCAATGCCTAGTCTGTCTATGCCTAAATCCGGCGCTGAAGTGAATTCGTGGCTTTGATCCAATAAACTATTTTTAAATATTGACAAATGCAACATTGTTCGCTATTCTTTGGAACATAGTACCATTATTTTTGACTATGCGTTGGAAAATTGCTTATTACCTAGAAGTAACAGCTTTATAGATCACCATGCTTTATTTAAACCAAAACTATTTTTCTTATTGCATGTTCTCAGAACAACCAATGAGTGTTTTAAGACATTGAACTATTAATGCAAAAAAACTTTATTTATATACTATTTTTCAGATGTGAGAACTATACCTGTTTCCAAATTTAGTATTAGTATGTACTTATTATTAAGAACTTAATAGTTAATTCCGTATTACTGATTTTTTTTTTGTTTTATTATAAGTACCTACCTATATTTATCTGTAAACACAAGAAAATTAAAATAGACATACCTGCAAACGCAAACATTGGCCAATTTTTTTAATTAATTCCATTTAAAAGCTTTACATCTTTACCTATTTTTTTCTTTATTCACTAAAATTATTAATTAATACATTAAAATTCTTTCAGCGAAAACCAAATCGAGTGCATTAAAAATAATATTAAATTTGATGATAAATTTTAATTTTTTATTTATTTTTATTAATTATTTCAAAAAGTTAGGTATAGATATTGACTAGAAATTTGATGGTTTTATTTTATTTAGAAATATTGACAGCAACCTACCAGATAATATACCTATCAATAGAAATTAAAAATACACAACTACGCAATAAAATATGTTTTATTTTTTTCCTCAAAAAACGGTGCATCCTACGCAAAAAATTGTAGGAACCAATTTCATTCTGAATTGATGGCGGATTTCTAAAAAATACTAGTGGCGTCCTATTTTTTTATAAAAAAAAGTTTGTGGCATTCTCGCATGAACGCCACTGGTGCAAGTGGAAATGTTCGGACCACCCCAAAAAATACACATTTATCCCTCCAAAGCGTTTTTCAAATTTCGAGTCAATACCTTTAAAACTCTTTGAAATAATTCATAAAAATTAATAAAAAATTAAAATGTGAACACTCTGTATCTCGGAAACGAAGCATATTTCGATCTACGTCTATATAAACTTTTTTTCACAAAATAACTGTGGCAACCACCCCCCTAAAATATTTCGCACTTATTTACAAACACCCTGTATACGGATGAGATGAAAATTTGTAACAGCATTAATGACTAACCATTGTTAAATTTGTAAATAGCCCTTGATAAAATGAACACTTGATGTATTAATATAAACTAGAATAGGTATAGAAACCAATCCGTCAATTTACTCAGTGGAACAAATTAAATTAGCGTTGAATTGTTCAGTTTATTTCAAATTTAATTTTAACACTTTTTGTTTAAAGGTTACAAACATTTCTCAATGTTCTGTTTTGTTTGATATGTTGTTGTTTGATAGTATGTTTTTAAAAACTTGGCTTGAAATGAAAATCAAAGTAGTTTTTTAAATCACTTTATTAAGATATGATAGTATAGTTTTAGTATACGATTCCATTGATTTAGACACACAGTTGATGATCCAATCCCAATAATCTAAAACAAAAAATATACAATTTTTAAGTGAATTTAGTAATATGCACACAGGAATTTATTTTAAAAGTTAATTATGGTAGTAGAGTATTTATATAATAAGACATATTTGTATAGAAAATAGAAAATATAATATTTTACAGAATGACACCACACAATACTGAAAAGCTTTTAATTTTATGCTCAAATTATTTAATTTCGTTGAGACAATAAAAACCGAGAAAAAAATATATTATGTACTATTCTTTAATAACAATGTTTTAAAAATTATATCCCATGTCTATCTAAATCAAAATAACTACGTATTATATAGGTACATATCTAAGAATATTAATTACTATATAATTTACATACCATAAAATTGGTTTTAGACATTGCTTTCTTACGAAAATGGTGCCTGGAGGACAGTTATATCTTGCGCCTATTGCACTTCCCGTTTTTACGTCCTTTAAGTTAATAGCTAAAGTGACACCCAACAAAATAAATAAAACAGTAAGGAAATATTTCCAGTTAAAGATTATTCTCATTTTGCTCCGATTTGTTTGTAAAATAAAAGTATGTTGTACGTTTCCGTTAACACTAATAATCAACACTTTTTTGTGTGGTAGAAAAATAAAAATTCAGCGGTGCTACATTCGCTACCACAGACTAGGTACCGCAGATAACTTCAAACTGATACGTTGCAATAGAGTGTTATTGTTCTTATACGTATACGAGTATGGTTTTCCACATTCCAAATTTCCAAGTAAAATGACATGTTGCAATTTCCGTTTAAATTATTGGGTGTGGTTTAATTTTTAAACATTTAAATTTGCAATTGTCGTCTGTCCTTCACAGGTAATTCATAAGTTTTATTTATTTTACTTTTCTAATATCTTTTCAACTCAATACATCCATCGACATATAAATAATACTATGTATAATATTCTTCTGTGTTAGTTATGTAGGTATAAAAGAGTTAAATAAATATACCTAGTAGAAGGAAAATTCTCGGATAAATTATATAACGATGTATAATGAATTTTGTTGGTCAAAAACTTTCGAAATTATAGATAACATAAAAATTGTAGATCAGGGTGTTAATGAAATATTTTGCTAAACTTTAATGGTGAGCTTCTACGTCACAAATCAATAAAAAAATCCTATAAACGTATATATCTGGAAATGCTTCGTTTTCGGTATGTTGTTTAGAAAGAATATCACATTCATTTAAATGTCTGACAGGGGTTAATAAAACTTGGGCGTTTCGTAATTACATTGTAGGTATTTAAAATTGTATTTGCAATAAATAATTCCTTTATATACTATCATTTTTATCTTGTATTAATTTGTTAAATGTGTGAAAATATTGCTTATCTTTTGTAATATAAACAATCACCATTTGATCTTAAAATTAAATTCAGTATACTGTTACATGTATTATTAGAAGAAGGTGCTATCAACAGTTCTTGTGCCCATTCTAGTTGATCACTTTAATGACAAATTATTGACTCAATTTACTTTTGGTAATAGACACATTATTTAGTTTTTAGCTAAGAAAAGTTTAATAAGAGCAGATCTATGATATAATGCAGGAATTAGTTGGTCTGGGTTTTGATAAGTGTTAATAAGATAATTTTCAGTGGTTTTTGGTATCTACTGTAACAGGAAAAATATTATTACGTCATTATTAAAAAAAATCATATGGTTTAGAGTATTGTAAATATGTTTCAAATTTCATTTCATATAGATGTGTCTATCTTTTTTCCTAGCGCAAATTTAAAATTAACTGTTTTAAGCTACGTACTCACCATTAATAAACAAACAATGTTTTAAACTCTAAATAATAGAGTTCTTAAAAAAAGTATAAGTAAGTAGGTAATAATGCAAAACAAAATCTGATCAAATGATTGTTTATCAAGTTACAGAGGTATCTGGGAGATAACACAATAAACACTTATTTTTTGAACATCTCAATAAAGTTACTCTCATCGTGCAATAAAGAAAAATTATAACCTATACCCACTTACTTATCTATAGAAGCAATGCACAAGTATTAAATCTATAAAAAATCTTACCTTTGCCTTATTACATTTTTTTATGACATTTTCCTCTTACGAATATATATTTTTTACCGCAGTTTTTAGGAACTTTTACATTATTTAATACTGGTGCCATTGAAATACTTGGCAGGATTAAAATAAAAATCAGCAGAAATATACGATTAAATTCAATTCTCATCTTGCACCGAAAGGTAAGAACAATATATAATATATAATACCTACAAGATACTAAATTATTTATATGTACAACTTGTCTGTCATAGTTTATCTTTCCCATGTCCGATAATACTTCCGATTAAATTACGTCAGTGTGCAATAATTCTTATTGGAAAGACGCAAAATGCCAAGAAAACGATATAATTTCAAAGCTAGCAATTTAAAATACCGCTAAAGTTATGAATAACATCCCTATGATGCATATCCACCCCACGTCACCAATTTAAAGTGGATTCATTCGAAGGATATAACTTCTAAATAAATTTTGCTATTAAAAAGCAAAGGAAAAATAGTCAAAATGAATTATTCGTACCTATATATTATGAAAGACTTGCCAAAGAAAAATTCTTCAGTAAAGTCGTTTTTCGAGAAATGTTGGGTTAAAAAACCTAACTCGGACAGTGACAATTACTAATATGGTCGTTGTAACCCATAATTAACCATAAAAACGCCTATTAAGTGGTAACTATATATCTCGCTATATATTTAACTAAAATGTATTTTCAAAGTAATTTCTTCAATAAGGGGAAAAGTAACAGTAATAGTGACATAACCGGGTGATTGTAAATGTGAATTTAAAGTTAATAACCATATTGGAAACTTTAATTGTACCTATAGGTAACTTGTTAGTAATATTATGTGCCATAGAACGCATTAAACTAACAGGTACTTTGAACGAAAAATACGTTACTCAAATATGGCAAAAATTAATCTGTGATGGTTTGTGTGATGTTATCCACGGTTTCCGCAACCACGGTTTATGACTCGCTGATAAATAAATACAAATAGAAGGACGAGGTTAACCCATAAACAACTCGGAACCACCCCCATTATTGTCTATTTGTCCATCTAAGTGGTGGCAAAAAAATATTATTTAAAAGTGTCGAGTAGAATTTTCAACTTCATGCGGGCAAAAAATTTGTACACTAAACGTTCGTGTTCACAAAAACATCGAAATACGCCGGCGAGAGGGACTTATAAGAAACTCAGAACCACCCTCGTTTTTCTTTGGTTTAGAGCAGAATTTTCAACTTTGTGCGATAGTAAATAATAATAACGGTACTCAATTAAAACCTAACAGACTCCTTAGTTTTTGCAGTATTAAATTCAAATCCATGGATATTCACGGCATGCAATAAGTACACCTTCTTACACCCTTATACCATGTTTCACTGAAATATCTTAAAAAGGCAAGCAGTTTATTGCAGAGAATATAGGTACACATTTTTTCACGATTTTTCAGTTTACTTTTTAGTAACCAATACTAATATTACAATATAATTATAATACAATATACTTTAATGGATGTCCTTTATTTCATAAAAAGTTAATTTGTATTTCAGAAAGCACCAAATGTATTTTAAACAGTTGAGCCATAAAATGAAACAATATAACGTTTGTTAAAATACTTATGTCTTTAATTTGAAATTTTTTACTTGAATTAAAGTTTGGGAACCACTGGATAAGAAACATTCTGAGAGCGTGGTGAGGAGTGAATTCATTCTTTTCTCTGATTACGCTGTTCCTTTGCGGCAGAAATTTATAAAAGTGGTTTTTGCTAGTGACAAATTTCTGACGGTTTTCCTGCTTACTATATCTTATCTAATTATATTCAGGGCCGCATTTACCTTACGTACAGGCGAACTAGTATATAGTTATAGATAATGTTGTGAACCCTGAATTTTAAAAAAGACCACAATTAGTTACTATAATGTTAACTATTAAAAAATATAAATTCTCTAAGTCAACAACACTCAAGTACAGAACAACAAAATAAATTGGCAGTGCCCAAAACTTAAAAAATTATTTAACGTTCAGTGCCCACAAATAATATAAAAACCTCAAGAATCTCTGAAAAATTTCACTAAAAATTTTTTTTATAAACTAATATGCAGGGTGTTTGGAAAAGTTGGTACAAAATTTAAGGGGGTGAAAGTAGAGCCAAAAATAGTAAAAAAAAGTCCCTATAAACATTGGCCCTCCGGAGCACCGTTAATGCGATATGGCCCTCCAAAGGGGTCTTATCCTTTGGATATTTTTTAAAATAGCTTTCTTTCCGATAAGGATAATAATGGAATGGAAATAGTAGGTAATAACCATACCACAAGGGTCTTTAACTATCATAAGTTTCATCAAAATCGGTAATCGGTTATAAATAAGAATAGTTTTCTAACTACCCTTGACAGAAATTTTTCGAATTTTTTTTATTCCGTTGAATTATCAAACAAATAATGTTATTTTTTAATGAATTACTTATTTGAAGAAAACATTTCTCTGCTTTTTTTTTCGAATTCTGCGTAGGTAGTTTAGTCAGAAATAATTATTTTTTAAATAATTGGCTGAGAACAGTAACTTATTAACATTTTCACATAGTAGGCATCTTCCATGGTGACAGTTTCGTTGTAATGATACTAATGATTGTCACTTTCGCGTGCTATCGTTTAACTTCTTAGGTTTTTTTATCTTCTTAGTTGTGATCTTTGTACTTGACTTTGCATTTCATTCGACTTTTTTGCAACCATGAACCATCATGAGCAGACGCTATTCTTACAGTCACAGTAGGATTACGTTAAAAAAATCCTAAAATTGCTTCGTCTAAATAATAAATATCTTGGAGTTAGGGCTCCTGATTCCATCGTTCTTGCATGAATTTCCCAAACAATCTTGCAGAAGGTTGCCGTCTATCAGGGAAACGTTGCCGATACTCTTTTTGAGCCGCCAGACTATTTCCATTACAGAAACCATAAATGAAATGCATATCGGCATATTCACGGTTAGTAAAAGCATGATGGTTCATGGTTGTAAAAAAATCGAATGAAGTCAAGCATGAAGATCAAAACTAAGAAACGCAAGAATTTAAATGATAGCACACGGAAGTGACAATAATTAGTATCATTACGACTATAAATTGTCACCGTGAAAGATGCGTACCTACAGCTTGTTTTTGATGTTGTAACTGAAACTTCATTGTGTCCAGAACGCCAGGGATGAATTATGCCTATCTTACTTTAACTGTTTGTCAAATTTTGTTAGTGAAAATTACATTAGCAGACAGTAAGAGTTTCTACTCTCTTCTTTTAAAAATAGTAGGTATGTAATAATGTCCAATTAAAAATTAAAAACAAAAAATGATGGAGGCGCCGCTCGATGTGCGCTGTGGCATAAAATCATAAATATGCAAACTGTTAATTTTACGGAGTTGAACCAAGACGATATCTATTATCATTGACAAGTTTTTCAGAGAACTTATTTTTGATTCAGGCAGATTGCTATCGTCATCTATGAAAAAATTCTGGCTTGTTAGCCATTGGGCATAGTCCGTCCGTCGTTCTGGGCATAATGAAGTTCCACTTACAGCATCAAAAACAAGCTGTACGCATGTGTTGTCGATCACCAAATTTGCATCATGCTGAAGTTAATAGTTTAGAGACTGTAAATAAAAATAACTTTTTAATTTTCACCTCTGAAGACGCGTAACTAGTTAACAAAGACCCGTATGAAAAAAATTTATATGAAGAACTGATATTATTTTGACCTCATCTATCTACTCCTACATCTTTTTTGTATCAAGTACTGGGACACCCTGTATATACCTGTCTTTCCACACACACACAACAACAAAAAATCAATTTGATTCTGGGTATGAGAACAAGATTAATAGCTACAAGTAATCATCACTGTCTTAAAAACATTAATTTACAACAATTGTACACATTATTTATTAAATGTGGTTATCCACCTCCTCTTCTAAAAAGTCTCTTGTTCTCGAGATCACAGTTACGGGATGTGCATGCAAATCATACCGAACAATAACTCAGTAATTCAAAATTTTCATTATATTTCAGTACCACATTTAGGTGCTGTTTCTGCCAAATTAAAAAACTGTTTGTCTGGATATGGTGGTGTCAAGTTTAAAAATCATTTAACGGTAAATAATCTTTTTACTAAATAAAAGATTTGCTATTACAGCAATCCAGTGTAGTTTATTGCATCCAATGTATGGATTGTGAATTGAAATATATAGATCAAACAAGACAAAAACTAAAAGATAGAGTTACGGCACATAAAAGTGACATACGACTGAATAAACACAGTTGCATTAAATAAGATGAAATTACAGTATTACATTCGGAATCTAACCATAAAAAAAGAAAAATTGTTCAGAGATGTGTCATATTATTTGCAAAGGAAAGGAATCCAATGAATGATATAACTGATCGATGGTCTCAGTGTAATTTATACTTTTTATTAAATCAAATTTTAATAACAAGGACAGTCTTTCAGGCGACACCCTGTATAGTGGTATGCGACCTTGTTAATTTTAATAATTTAAAAATTTAATAGTTTAAAAATTTTTGGTAGAGTTTCCCCGTTCTCCGCATAAGTATTAAGGAGGCCATATCCTTGGCTGAGAAACGGTGAAATTTCTGGCATTTTTAGGTACTGAAATCTTGAAAAGTAAAACGTGTAGAACAAAAGTAAGCACAAAAATAAAATCCTTGATGTTTTATTTATTCATTGTTACCATTTAAATTTACCTAAATAAAATAATAACTAAAAAAAGCGTTTGTAAAACATGCGTTTGCTGTTATCCTAACCCCACATATTAAGAATTATTTTCACGTACTTATAAATAAAAGTAAACAATTTTATATGTAGGACTAAGCAAGTAAATGTTATAAGAATATTTACATGTGGAGTTATGTCTAAAAAAGTTAGTATTTTCGTAGATTTCAGTACCTAAAACCTTGATGTTTGATCGTTTTTTGCACCTGTTTATTCGTTTTACTGCGGCGTCTTTGAAAATACTCAGGTGGCATGACATAACATTCCTATTATTTGATAAGCTATAGATTATTCAGTTATTAAATGTTTGAAATTATTTGTCTTTGCGGAAAACACTATTTAAAGAATACGGGGCCCTTAAGGAAGCAAAAACGTTAATATTTTTTAACTTTTTTTCTCCTTATCTGATATCCGTCCCTAAATGACAGACAGCTTTGTTAATTTTTTTATTTCGGCTCTAGTTTTCCGTATTAACAATTTTAAAATTTTTTATAATTGTAATTTCTTTTTTTAAACTATTACCCGTGATGTTTTTATTTATTTGGCATAACGATCTATGTCCGCGGTAGGTGGATCTATCATGTTTGCTAACTTCATATGTAATTCTGGAACAGTAAGTAATTTTTAATTGACTAATTTATAAGAAAAATTATAACTTGTATCCTATTGTAGTTTTTCCTTATGAAGAAACAAAATATAGTTTCGAAAGCTTGAAAATTTAAGAGTGTAACTTTTTTATCCTAGGCTACATTCTCGTCCAAGAAAGAAAATTGGTTTTTAACTTGGATTTGTGACTACAGAATGTTACATGTCTCTCAAATAGCAAAATCCTATCTGTTTCTATTATGGTTTTTAATATGCAGTTAGATAATACTCATGCTAACAAACAGGTTTTCTTTTATTAAATCTCGATGTGAAATCAATGAATACTAATTTACTTATGCATAAGTTGTTTCATACATTTGTTGTTTTCAAATACATATATGCCTTTAGAAAAATATCACATTTACTCAAATATCTCAATTTGATGTAGATTAATGAAAATGAAATTACTGAAATTTTTCTAACTGGAGGTAAAACTTTATTAAAACTGATGCTATAAAAAATATATGATAGATGAAATAAAAATAATATGTCAGTCAGTGGCCAGACTGCGTGTCTAAAATTTCGTAGCATTATTAGAAATACAACCAAAGCACTTAACTTTTAGTAAAATGAATAAAAGTTTGTAATACATTTTTATCATCTTACCTTGGCTTTATTAAACTTTGGGACGACATTTTCCTCTTATGTACACCTCATCCTTTTCACAGTTCACTGGAACAGTTGCAATTTGTCCTGTTTTCCTATTTGGTGGTCGTTCTGCAGTAGCAACGTTCAAAAAAATTAAAATAAAAATCGTATAAAGCAGACGTTGAAATTGTATTTTCATCTTGCATCGAGCACACTTGCTTACTCAGTGAAACAGTACGACCTTTCACAAGGTAAACTACTACACCTTTATAGTTATAGACGCTGTTTTTTTCTTTGAAATTCCCAATATTCTTCAAGTAAGTTTGTATCAGTTCAGGCACGTAATCGCATAATTTTCCAGAAGGGCATCTGTTTTGTTTTACCATATTCTGCGAAATTTGCTTCCAGAATAAAATATAAATCTCATACAAATTACTTTGCTTCTTATCCTTTTTCATGCGTTTTGATGTATTTTGTTGTGTATGCCTGAGCATGTTCAAAACATCAAAATTCCTACAAATTGAGCAGATATCCATTTAGGCGTATGTAGGTATGGAATATGGATGGGAAAAATTTAAAGTATGTATATTAAAATTTTCAAAATGTTCTACAAACCAGATATTAATTATAAGCAAATGTTGGCTCACTCCTGAAAATGAATAAAAAAAACTCTTCGATTGAATATAAAAAGTTGTCTTTACCGTATAGACCAAACTAGTGTATCCCATAGTTTTTTGGCCTGCTGAATCCGAATTGAAAATCAAAATTCTCGGATCAGTTCGTGCTTTGCCTCTAACATCAAGACACTCCTCTAGAAAATGGTTTTCGAGTTTAAAAGCAATTGAAGTGATTGAAAAACAATGGACGTAATCTCATTGCACCAAAATCATACTGCATTTGCTTTAAGTACCTACTATTAGATTTAACTATTATATTTATACAGGGAACGTAAATTTCACTTGGCCACAATTAATATATGTACTTTAATAAGCAAAGTATCTTTATAGAGTATGTTTCTTATTATACTTGGTGGTACCGGTAGTCGTCAAAGAACATTGACTGGGAATTTTATTGCAAAATCTACTGTTTTAGAGTAGATAGAAATATCATCTAAAGTTGGATCCAGGAAGGCTAAAAATAAAAAAAATTGAAAGAAATTACAGACATAATAAAAAGTATCACTGTCTGTTTTTTCCACACTTACGGTATTTCAAAAACATTTTAGATACCAGTACTTAGATTGTAAGTAGGTACCTAGCCAATTAAAGCCAATTCTGATAGTTTTGGCGCTACTGTATCTATCTCAAATTGAAGAAATCTTCAGAGCGTAAAAATATTTATTAACACAAAAGATAGTATACATTAACCCTGATAGGATCTACCTGGTGCTGTTAATAGGATTGATCTGACACTCACACAATGGATATAGACTGATAGGTAAGCCACACCTTTTCAGAGTGCATTAAATACACTACATCTCCAATTAATCCTTAATGGTCTACTCAGGCTTGCATATTATAAACAAAACATTAGTACGCTGCGCTGTTAAGAATCTCGCCTAATATGGTACCTACCCATAATACATGGGATTATTCATTTTTTATGCTGGAAGTAGTAGTTGGTTTTTTGTATTAATGAGATCAGCTTTTTTAAACTACGTAGGTATATAAAAAAATTAAAAAATTACGATATAGCTGTAGAATCATACCTAATTTTGAAAATAAAGTAAGTTACCCAAATGTGATATCAATATTAAAAGAAACCGAATACATAAAAGTAGTAAAGTTCTGAGTATATAAATTCTTCTTATGAGCACATTATGTTTCTAATATAACCATGATAAAAAGTGATTTGGGTTCTAATTTAAAATATTTAAAAAAAATTTGCTTGTTTTCCAGGACAGCTTAATTTTTAAATTTTTTGAGGTTTGGAAAAAATTCTTAATTCTATATAAAATTTGATGTTCGGCTTAACTACAGATTATGGAAATATTTCTTTAGCGTGCCCCAAAAAAGCTCAAACTCCCCCCTCAGGATGAATTCCTATCAAAAAATGTTTAAGAAAAAAGTTGTAGGATTTCAAAAAAACCTCTTTTTTTATTTTATAAATCGATAGAACGTAATATTTTAATCCGAATATAGAACCGAAAATTTTTTCTTGGATATCATTTCAAGGTCGAATTTTCATGAGAAACCCAAAAGAAAATGTGAAAGCCAAATTATTTAAATGAATTGCGGCGATCAGGATCGTCTTTATTAATTTCTTGTATCAAATTTATTTTGTGTGGCTGATACTTATGAATTTTTAAGATTCGGCGGCAATTAGGTACAGAAATTTCTGAACTACTGACAGCTACCTTATTACCCTCATTACGTACGACCTGTTCACGTTAATGCTTTCTGTTTGCAACCGATCCAGTTTCCGAAAATGTATGCACTACATCGAGGATGTACTGATGCGAAGTGTTTTTGTCAGGATGGCGATCATTAAAAATCTGTGCTGCCTTTGCCGTGCACAGTCATTATTCTTGTAGAACAAACGAATTATTTTCATTTTTTCAGCAATTGTATTTTTCAACCATTTTCAACCGAAACAATACTGTCTTGCTTAAATTAAAACAGGTAAAAAAATTGAACTGATAGAGTATGAAGTTTCTGTATTGACAGATAAACGAAAAATCAAAACAAATATTTTTATCAAGAAATTGTTGAAGAATGTTTTGTTGGTTCTTTTTTTAATTCCGATATTTTCCAGCTGGAAAATATTAATTGGAACACCCTGTATATTTATATGTAGTTCTGTAAACAGTTCATATGATATTCTGTACGTTATTAAAAAAAACTAATTGTTACTTGGGCAAACTAGTCAATTAAGACATCAAGTATACAGGGTGTTAAAAGAAGAGTATAAAATATTTCAGGAGGTAATAGTATGAACCAAAATAAGCAGAAAAGTCTTAATAAACATGGGTCCGCAAAGTAACGGTTGCGGAGATATGGACCACTACTTATTCGTTTTTCAAACATTTTATTTTATTAGGAATAAACCGACAAAGGAAGCTTTTAACAAACAAAAAACAAAGTTACAGAAGATGTTCAAAGTGCCCTCCGTCCATTTCCAAGCAGGCACGACATCTTCGTCTCAACGATATTCGAACTCTTTCGAAAACACCCTCCTTGGTTTGGATTTCTTGACACTTTTGATTAATCCGTAGCTGCAGCTCTTCCAGGCTATTTACAGGAGTACCATACACTAATGTCTTCAAATATCCCCAAACAAAGAAATCTAGAGGGTTCAGATCAGGCGATCTTGGAGGCCATAAAACAGGTCCGGCCCTTCCTACCCATCTATGTGGAAAAGTTTGGTGTAAATGCTCTCTAACGGCCATGGAAAAATGAGCTGGAGCACCATCATGCTGGAACCACATTTGTTGCCTCTGATTCAAAGGAATGTCTTCCAAAAACTCATACAGTGTGTTCTGCAGAAAGTTGAGGTAAGCAGCGCCTGTTAATCGGTTTGGTAAAACAACAGGACCTAGAAACCTGTCACCTACAATACCCATCCAAATGTTTAATGAAAAACGTGCCTGATGTCCAGATTCTATTAGAGCATGAGGATTTTCGTCGGCCCAAATATGCGTATTGTGAAAATTAAACACTCCATTTCTTGTGAACCCGGCCTCATCAGTAAAAAGAATGTTTGCAAGAAAACGAGGGTCTTCAGCATCATGACGTAGAAACCAGCGGCAAAAAACCAAACGTGCTTGATGATCATTTATTGGATTTAAGGCCTGTACTCGTTGCACATGGTATGGATAAAGCAGTTGCTCGTGAAGGATTCTCCAAACAAGAGGACCACTAATTCCTACCTCGGCTGATATTCTCCGCACACTCGTACCTGGATTCTGCTCTACCAGTGCTAGAATTTCTTCTTCTGCTCTAGGAGTGGATACCGACCTTGGTCTTCCGGATAAATGGCACTGTTTGCTCAAGGAACCGGTATCACGCAATCTTTGGTGAATTCTTCCAAACATGCGTTGTGAAGGAATCTGGCGATTTGGATAAGCGTCAACATAAAGACGTCGCGCTTCGGTGGCGTTCCCATTAGCACGACCATACATGAAATGCATGTCTGTTAATTCTGCGTTAGAGTAACCAGCCATAGCGAAAGAAAACTTGTGCACTGAGAACAACTGTCAAATACGTACTGTTTATTTCACTAAACATCAACCAACTATTATAAGAAAATACACAACGTTTTTGCAAAATAAAAAAAGGGGCTAAATAACATAAAACATTCCATATCTCCGCAACCGTTACTTTGCGGACCCATGTTTATTGGGACTTTTCTGCTTATTTTGGTTCATACTATTACCTCCTTAAATATTTTACACTTTTTTTTTTTAACATCCTGTATAAGTATCTAAATGAATGTATCAAAGAAGCTCTGGAGTAGTCGAGTACGGAAAAAAGGGAACAGATATGATATCCTACTCCAAATGAAGGCACCTTAAGGATCCAGTCTGCCTGGCCGCGTTGTCGCATTGTCTCTGGTCGCCATGGCTGCGCGGCCAATCAGCGACGAGCGCCACCGTGTATTGTTATCCCGCCACTGAAAAGGACCCTCACATTGTGACGCTCCCTTTTGTGAGCCGGATTATTCCGGGGCTTTTTTATTTCGGCTTAATGGAGCCGCGGGGCGCCCGAGCCGGCACGCCCGATGGAGTGTGTTTTGTTAAAACATGGCCCCCGGGGAACGCGAAAAATTGAATTTTTTTAATTAGCATTCCCCGGTCGTTATCTCAATTTGAATCTCATTCGGATTCCGAGCGGATCGGCGTGTTTTTAAATTGTGCCGCCCGTAACTTCTGGCTATTAGTCGGCATTGTTGCATTGTTAAAAAGTTTTCGCCAAATGGCGAAGTTTCGTTTCGAGACCGGGTCCTAGCCAGATACGCGGGGTCTGCTTCTTTCTTTTTGGTTTCTCATTCAAATTTTATCGTTGTTTTGTTCACTACACCCCGAAAAAAAATTGAACAAAATTTCAGTGGCATCACATTCAATAATGTATCAATTCCCGTCCGTCAAGTTGAGTGAAGTTTTCACTCTGTTAACGAGAATGAAATTTTGTGAGTGAACTTATACTGCAGATGTGACGAATTTTACTCAAATTCAAAGAAGTCTTTTACTTTATTATGAGCGTATCACAGCAACTAAGAGTTAAGTTTTTTCTAGTATCGTAATACATTTTTTCTATGTTAACTT